ATCCAGACATATTTCTAAGGAGGATGCATTTGCATAATAGGGAAACGGCATAGACACGTTCCTAATCTTATCATGGAACTGTGGCTTCACAGATGTTTGGCTATATTACTTTTCAGCATGTTTTGGTTTAACAGAAACCATGGGCTTCAGAATTTACTGGGAAGCTTGTTAAAATGCAGATCCCTGAGCGCCACACCAGACCTCCACTCAATCAGAATAGCTGTAGTACCCAGAAATCTATATTTTAGCCAGTCTTCCTAGGGGATTCTGATCCATGTCATAATTTGAGAACCATTAATGGAGCTTGGTTTGATAGTTCTATTGGCTCTAATAACATAACAGAAACCTTGTTCTGATTCTCTGTTGATGGTTAAGGGTGTTTATACTGCTAAAGTAAAGTGAGTTTTCCAACTTTTTCTCCTCAATGGGGCATTGTGTTCCCATTTTCTAGGCATCTTGTCTTTCTACAAAGATGGATCCAGTATTGATGAATAATCTGTCATTAATTTGGACAAAGTTATTCCTTGTTTAATTTTCCTCTGTATCATTTCCTACAAGATGTTTCTTTTCCTTTTCATCACCTTCTTCCACTGAATGTAGTGTCTTGTTTCTTTTTTTCTTCCTAGCTCTTAAAAAATCTTCAACATCTGATTATTTATTTATTCCAACAACAGCTCTTGAAAATGCTGCAAGTTTCAACAGTTTTTCAAACATGCAATGCTCCACTGTGTGTTTCTTTAGAGATAGCAAATATTATAAATGGCTTACTCTGATTTAAAAGTTCTGACGAGGAAACCTTAACTCTCTTAAATATATACTTTGATTTACAGCAAGAATAACAATTTCATTTTGAATTGGTCTGATGACTTCTTGGCAATTTTTCCTTGTCTCAGTAAAAACAATATATTTGAAGTCCATTTTCTCAAAATGCCCTATGCAGCTGTGTAATGTTCAGAAAATTAAAAGAAGTCTGTATTTTAAATGTTTCTAGGCAATTATTGCAGGACATTGTCTTATAGTGGTGTGATGTGTGGTATGTGTGTCTGTGTGTGTGTGTTTCACTGAAACATTTGAGGTGACCAATTTCATTTCATACTGCCAGTGAAATGTTAGTTTCTTTAATAAACAAATTATCAAGATTGACAATAAAAAAATAATTGATGATTTTGTGTTGATTTAGTTTGGATGACCCTAAAAACTGATTGATTTGCATTTAAAAATTTCATTGAGGAAAATTGGCAAGGGTGGCTGGCACTGGCTTGCACTGTGTCACAAGAACCAATTGTGTTCATCTCTTCCCAACTCCGTGTTCAGTGACATCACATTGGTAGCTTGAAACTGACCACACTGGGAGTATTTATACCATGGAAATTGGCAAAGACCACAAATCTTGAGAGACAGCCGTTAAGCATTTATCAGCACATCACTGAGACCACGCATAATGGTGCGATATCTAGGCGGGAGAAAGGGAATAAGATTGGAACAGTTGAACCATGATGTCATCATAACAAAGGCCTCAGTCAATCCCATGGGGAGCTATGCAACTGAGATGCTCCTTTAGAGTTATTTCAAAATGAGACAAGGGAGCCAGGCTTTTATGTCCTCTGCCATCAACTAGCCATGGGATACAAGCTACCAAGGGAGAGGTGTGGGGGAGGGTGTTACCTTGGGCAAGAGGATTCTATTCAGCTGAAAGCAGTTCTTGAGGAGGGACTCAGGTTTGAGCTGACAGCAGTCCATCTACTTAAAAAATTTACTTCTAACCCATCCATTTAAAAAAAGTTTTATAATGGAAAATTTTAAGCATGCAGTAAAATAGAGAGACTAGTATAATGAACACACAAGCACCTGTCATCTAGCTTCAAACATTATTAATTCTATCTCCCTGACAAAACTTCATTCCCCCCCCACCAGATTACTTTGAAGCAAGCCCCAGAAATCACATGATTGCATCAGTAAACATTTCACGGAGTCTCTCTAAAAGGCAGAGATATCATAATTTGTCCCTTAATTTGTTTCAACCTCATTAAAAGATAAGTCTTCAGGATAAAAAAGGCATCAAAATGGGTCAAATGTTAACCTTTCTTTCTCTATCTCACCCTGTATGCAAATTTCCTGAATCGAGACCAGAGATTATTCCCAAGTAGGTATATGGTGTCTTGAAAGATAACAAATCAATTATTTTTGGACACTTATTTGGTGGCAGACACTGTACTTAGAACTGTGACATACATTATCTTCTGGGGACTCTCGTAGAGCCTAACGGTGGACTCGTCCTGGGAGGCAACAGTGTTGAAGTTACCAGGGGATTTGCCGTGCATAAAGAGGACTTCTAAGACTCTGACAGATCATTGCTTTTTTTCTGAGAATGCGCTCTTCCTTATTGAATCAAATTTCTTAAAAAATTATTTCAGCAATACTTTGCATATTAGCAGACATAATTCAAGCAGGGCTAAGAGAATGAGTGAGACCAGCTTACCTGTTTGGAAAACGTTGCTGCCTGTGAGAGTCGGGGTTTAAGGTAGGGCTTGTCACTCTCATTGCATCCTTTGGTCCAAATGAAGGGCTTAAATCTGACGGTTGCAAGTCAACTGCTCTGAAAATTTATCAAAGATACAAAATCAATAGAATATCCAACATCAGGAGGTCAGAGTAGAAGCAAGCAGGAATCTTTTGCTGTGGCATGAAACAGTGCTCCCTTTTATTCAGCCCAGATGCTAATTTTTATATCAAAAATATTGATTGAAGGGGCTAGTGATTTTGGCGCTCACCCAAGTTTATTCAGGATCTTTCTTAATTAGGTTTGGTAGGGCTGCAATGCCCATGGCCAGGGTTAGGTCTGGCTCCAATCACCACATCATGCTCTCTCCTTCATCACTGGCCAAGGAATAAGGCAAGGAAATTCCTGCTTCTTTGTTTCTCCAGCCCATAAGTATGTTTTTTCCAAATTTGAAGCATGCATGGAGCAAACGTGTAAGGAAAACTGAAGAACTGTAATGGCTTCACTGTGATGAGATCAATCCAGCCTACAACCTGACTGTGATTCCCCAGCATGAATAAGGCCCTGTGTGTGAAAAATGAATGGGTAGCAATGTGAGATCATGGAAAAAGATCTTGGCAACTTTTGAATGAAAATTTTTCACGAGGCTGATGCAGCCAATCAGTCTATGAGTTTTTTAAAAGGGAAAAATAATCTCTTTTGCCAACAACACATGATTTCTCCATAATGTGTCTGTTTCGTAAATACTGGTAGTTAAGTCATGCAACTGTTTTAATAGCGTCCATATCAATTTCACATACTTTATACCAGTCTTTTCAAAACATCTATGCACACATAAAGCATCCATAAATCATGGTCACAAACTATTGACACCTACGACAAAATGTGTTTTCCTTTATGTACAAAATAGTGTGTTGATATTTAAAAATATAATTCAGTTTCCCTAGAACGTTTTCCATTAAACACCTATAAAGAGTTTTTAACTCAAAGAATTCTTAGATAAAACTTAAAAGTATACACTCGTAACATATCTTAGTAATGAGACACCTCTAAGTGGGATCAACCAAATGTTAAGGATTTCCTATGTAGAGAAGTCTACAAGTACTAGAGATAGTCAATGTTACAGGCACATTATACAGAAAAATTAAAGTATTTTATTAAAGTGCATACATTTCTAATAAGATAAACACCTAACTCTTTTGGAATTACATTGGTTTTTTTTGACTGTGTATTTATTATTTATAATAGACAAGTAGAGAAGAAATATCCTAGTTATTCAAATTAATCAACATGGATCTCGATTGTGAATAAGGATGGAAGATCAGGGATTACCGGATATTTGTGGAAAACCAGCAACACCAAAATGAGTGGCCAAGATGAAAAAAGGAAAAAACTTTCACCAAAGAATCAGACAATAATGGAAAAATGAACTTTTGAAATATTCTAATTATTATCCTTGTTGATCAACCTGATTATATGAAGATATTAAAATCCACAAAATAAAAATAGGTTGATATGAAAAAGAACGAGATTTCACAAAAATTAAAAATATTTAATATTTAAATGTTTGGTGAAAATAAACCAATAGAAAGCAAGGAAGAAAATTTCATAAACTCTCTCTCAGAATATAAAGCAAAGGACTAAAAGATAGAAAACAGGAGAGAAAATTTAGAAGATATAGCAGATCCATAAAGGAGGACCAATATCCATATAATAAAATGTTGAGAAAGAAAGAAAGGGGAAAACCGAAGGCAGGGGGAAAAATCAAAGGGGCCAGCCCCACGGCATAGTGGTTAAGTTCAGCCTGTTCCACTTTGGTGGCCCAGGTTCACTGGTTCAGACCCCGGGCACAGACCTACACCACTCATCAGCAATGCTGTGGTGGCAACCCATGTATAAAGTGGAGGAAGATCAGCACAGTTGTTAGCTCAGGGCTAATCTTCCTCAAGCAAACAAAGAGGATTGGCAACAGATATTAGCTCAGGGCTAATCTACCTCAGAGAAGAAAAGAAAATCAAAAAAATAATAGAACTATTTCCCTGAGGCTGAAACAAAACAGAAGGTGGAAATGACCAAGTAAGTGCTGAGCTGATGAATAAAAAGAGATTTTCTTTCTTTCTTTTTTTTTTTTAAAGATTGGCACCTGAGCTAACAACTGTTGCCAATCTTCGTTGTTTTTTTTTTCTGCTTTATCTCCCCAAACCCCCCTCCCCCCGTACATAGTTGTATATCTTAGTTTGCAGGTCCTTCTAGTTGTGGCATGTGGGATGCTGCCTCAAGGTGGCCTGACGAGCGGTGCCATGTGCGCACCCAGGATCCAAACTGGCAAAACCCTGGGCCACCACAGTGGAGTGCACAAACTTAACCACTCAGCCATGGGGCCGGCCCCTAAACATAGATTTTCACCTAAATGCGTCTTCATGAAACTTTGCTATACCAAGGATAACAAGAACTAAAAAGTTCCCAGCTAGAAAAAATAAAACAATCTCACCCACAAAGGTAAAAGTAACAAATTTTATTTTTGAATATTACAAATATGTCCTCCAAAGAGTTCATTGCAATTTTTATACCCATCAACAGTATATAAAAATACTCATTTCCCCAGTCTGTACCAAAGCTGAGTATTACCATTTTTATGTTTATATTTATTCTATTACCATTTCAATCCGATAGAGAAAAAAATGGGTTCTCAGTGAGGTCTGATTCCCATTTACCAGCGATATAATTTTCTCATATGTGTATTGGCCATTGATATTAGTCTTTTGCACATTTTTTGTTTGTGTCCTCTGCCACTTTTTCTCTCATAAATGTCTCTGGCAATACTGGATGCTAGAAGACAATGAAGCAATGCCTTCAGAAACCAGAGGGAAAATAGTCTCGAATCTAAAATCCTATATCCAGAAAAAATCTATAACCAATCAAGGGAGGGTGAAATAGGGAATTTTTTACATGAAAGATTCAGAAAGTTTATTTCCTCAATGCCCTTTCTTTAAAGAATTACTTGACCAATACTCCAATAAGCACATCCAAGCAAAAGGAAGACATAGTATTCAGAAAAGAGCAGAATCAATCCAGAAGTACAATATAAAGAAATCCCAGAAGGATCATTTATTAGTTAAAGTAGATTAAACTGTCATAACAGAAGGTGATGGGCTGTTTCTTGCTCAGGTAGAAGTCCAAATTTGTGTCTGTGGTTGGCAAGCACTCTCTTCCACACGGTGTTTCAAGGACCCAGGCTATTTTCCCCTGGTGGCCCCACCAAGCCCCAGGACTTTCTTGTTTCACGTGCAGTTGAGGCTCCAGATTTCAACCTGTGAGAAAGGGAAAGTGAGCATGGAGGAGGCCCAGATCCTATCCCAGTCTGATGATTGACTTAACTCTGACTGTTTGGACACATTCTGAGGATGATGACCGGCCCTGATTCCACCATGCAAAGAGAGTAACCAGAGACCTATAAGAAGAAGAACTCCTGCAGATAACACCCTGATATCTCAGTTCCTAGAGATCCAGCCCTCCTCCCCCAACACTGCTGCAACACCAACCCATTTTCCCCTGTCAGATAGATGAGACCTATGAGCTCTGGCCATACTCCAGTTATCGAGCCCAGAGTCACGACCCACAGCCGGCTGGTGGGCAGGTCCGACCAGGCACTTACCCCATCTCTCATTCTCACCACCTCATCTCATGTGGATGCATTTGCCTCGTTCCTCAGAAATGGTACCTGCAAGGTGGCTGTCAGATCTGAATGCCCTCAGCTAAGACACCCTTGAAAAGGCTGAGCCGGGCAAGGCTGGAGGAGGGGGCATCACCATGGCTGGTGTCCATCTACGTGCAGCTCTCAGGCAGTGGGAACTCTGTTCTGGCCACAGGAACTTTGAGCCTGCCAAGTCTGGCCCATCTGCTGCTCAGGATATGAAAAGAGAGGTGACACGTTTCTCACCTCTGTGATCTTCACTCTGCCTCTCAAATTGTCACACCTCACTTCAGGCCCCTCCTGGGTTTCATTAGTGATGGGGAAAGCCAGCCAAGTGGGGATTAGTATAGGTTTGTTTGGGGTTGGCTCTTTTAAAATTCCACTTTCACAGGGTAATAGCCTGGGGTCAACTCTTCAATGAAATGATGGAAAAGAGAAAATGTGGGGCACTTTATGGCTTGTTTATGCATCTGCATCTTCCCTGGTGCACGTTCCTGGAGTCTCTCCCCTCCTGGGTTACGACCTTTTGGGGTTTTGCAGCTTGTTCAAAGCTGCTCGTCAGTGACAGTTTAAGGACTAGGGGAGGTAGCCACTAAAAACAACAGCATACACAGCAATTCATTTCTGCCCCACCCCCACATTGTGTCTTACTCTGTTTTCACCATTCAGCCTTAAATGTGAATATATGTGAGTGAAATGAAAATAGAATTTATACATAGCAGGCCTTCACCTTGCAGAGGTAAGAATTTGGGGACGTGCTTTTAGAAAGCTCTTGTTCATCAGAATTCCATGAGTATTCATGTTCAGGTCTTTTGGATTTATACTTCCAAAGTGAGACAGATGTTCTACGAAAAAGGAAAAGTACCAGAAACAAAAATCCAACAGTGAGCTTTATACTTTGAAACTTGCTTTTTTTGCTTCTGGAAAAAATAAAAGGTTTTCATAAAAAAGACACTTAAAATGAGAGATAGGCAAGTTGAACACAGATTTAGTTAACCAAAGAGCTAAGAAATTATTTAAAAGCTGTCCTATGTTCATTATTGTGCTCTTGAATTGTACTCATGAGGTATTCCAATGAGGACAACTTCTTTCAACATTATTATTTAGCAAGTTTTAATATATGAGATATGTTAAAATGTACTTGTCTCTTAAACTTGAAATTCTCCCTTTGAGAATTTTTGCTAAAGAAATACTTCTTATGAACTTCAGTTGCTGGCAACATTGTAATCTAAATAACCAGAAACTCTCTCACCGCAAAGTAGAAATACTACAGAAAACGTAAGATCCTTCTGAATGCAGAGCTGAATCTGCAAGAAAGTTTGGGAAATCCCCAGGGATGAAAAATTAAAAGGAACTTGAAATCTAAAGCTGTAAGAGTTCAGCTGAAACTCTGGCAGCCCTATGGGTGTTTTCTTGTCTCAGTAACATAGAGGCTTGGGTTTTAATAACTATTTTGGAACACAGGCGAGGACTTGGGCCAGTGAGAGGTGAGATGTTGCACTAGAACAATCCACCCAAAAGCAGGAGAGATGACAAAATCTAGGCTCTAGATGGAGGAAAAAACTTGGTCTACTCTGAGAACTCATAACCATAGGACTGGCCTCATGGGTTTAGCATTCACGTTTACAGCAGAATTCCCATGTCAAGAAACAAACATAAAACCTGTTCTGGGCTAATAATACCCATTGTGTGCCAGGCAGAAACCATCAGCAAATCTCTCTGAAGGGGCATATTCTTATACCAGGAGGTCAACCCAGTGAGGCCCCACAGAAGATTAGTTGACAGTCCAAAACTACAAAACTCATGGGAAAATAATCCCCTATGAGCAAGCACAGTAGAAGTCAATATCAGAAACAATGACAATGACACCCTTGGAAAGACACCACAAAAAATCATGTTTAAGTGATTGAAGACATAAAAAATGAATAGAACATATGAGAAAGACAGGACAGATTTGGAAAAATAGAACTTTCAGAAATGTCAAAATATGATCATTGAAAACAAAATCTCAACAGGTGAATTAAACAACAGCTTAGACACAGTTTAAGAGAGAATTAGTGAACAGTAGGAAAGAAAATTATTCAGAATGCAGCCCAGAGAGAAAAAGAGATTAAAAAAAATATGAAAGAGAGCTTAAGAACAAGTTAAGGATATCACAAAGATTTAGCAATAAGGATCAGAGTATTGCTTATAAAATCTAAATGTTGGAAGTAATATAACTGTCCACACACAGTTTTGTTTAATTTTAATATGTCTTATTTTTTAAGATTTTCATTTAAGATTTACTTAAGTTCAATTAACTCAAGGCTAAATGATACTATAAAAATATATCTATCGATATTGAAAGTATAAATATTTTTATAAAACTAATTAAATATTTAACATACGTATGCATGTAAATCTATAAGAAAATATCTACAAGACTATACCCCATTTTCTTTGGGTAAGGATTATGGGGGCGGTGGTATGTGTATATAATCTCCCACAAGCAAAAAATAAAATAAACTTAATCTGGAGAAAAAAAGATACCAACATACTAGACTAACTCAGAACATCACTCTAGGATTAACAATTCTTTCTTGTTTCCTGCCTTGACTTGAAGTCCCCATTGGCTGGGTGCTGAGCCCCACAGATAGTGGTCAAAGCTGCTTACAGGGTGTGATTTGACCTGCAGAGACAAAAGAGTGGAGAGGCCTCTTGAGAAGGCTTGTGATCCATGCAGAATGAAACTTGGCTCTCAGATTTGGAGTGTCCAACACTCAGGGTCAACATCCGGATTTTTCGGGGACCCCGGCCACCATGTCCCTTATCCCCTACAGCTGTCCACTCTGAGAAACCTGCTGCAAGTTTTTTAGGACAACCAGGCAACTGCTTGGCAGTAAGCCTGGTGAGGATACTAACAGAACTGGATTCCGTCCTGTCTTATAGGATGAATTTGTTGATTTCTGCAATACCACCATCCGCCAAGTCCCCCTTATGCTATAGAGCTTGTGCTCCATGGGGACATAATTGGCCATTCTCGGGGTTGAGGGTAGGCAGCCTGACTTTCTCCGTAGTCATCACTCATCCAGGCTTTGGGTTGGCTTCCTCATCCCATTCTGAATTCTGATTCCAGGGGTTGACAGTCACTCATGAGACCCAGATACTTACAAGAGAGAAATCAAGGGACAGAGTAATGATTTCGAGAGTACATTCTGTCTTGGACTGTAAGTTTCCTGCTTCAGGAGGTCACATCACTGTATTGCAATAACAATTACATATCACAAGATATAAACACTATCAATATGCTATCAGCACAACAACATTTCCAATAATGGCAATCTCACGTATGACAGCCTGGTAATAGCATCTACATTTGATTAAATACCTGTAAGCTGCCAAGTACTAGTCTAGGTACCTAACAGATACAACAGCAGCACCAAGTAGGTGATTGGAGGGGTTTCTTTAGCTCCTCCATTATGTCCACCAACCCTTCCTTAGTTGGTGATGTGTTCCCAATTTTCTGCAAGGTATCCAGCCCCTGCTTTCCCTTCTGTCTAGACTGCTCTAAGTTCCCCTAGTACAGAAATTCTAGAGCAGCCACTGAACATTTGTTAACTTGTTTGTTCCTTAAAAATATTTGAGTCCAGCATCACTGTTTCAATGTTAAAGATGAGGAAATAGACTAAGAAGAGCAAGTAACTTGCCCACTGAAATAAAATGGCATACATCACCAACCCACAAGATTCTACATAGTCTGTCCAGCCCCAAGAGCCAAATTCTCTCTACTCTCCTAAATTGCAATAGTAACATTTATTGAGTAATGAATGTGTGAGGATCTCTACTCTCCTATTGCAACAGGACCAATTATTGAGTAACGAATGTGTGAGGCTCTGAACTAGATATTGGAAAAGGACGATAAAACCACTTCTGTCCCTACCTGCAAGATGCTCACATCTGGTAAATGAACCCAATGGTTTGGTTAAATATAACAAACATTATTGAAGGCCAGCTGAGTTCACAGCAGTGTTTAATAAAAGGAGTCATAATATCCTCGGGCTCATTTTAGTCTCTGCATTCTAGCAACTTCTTATAGCAGATGCTCTGCCTGTGTCCTCTCAACCCTCCGTAAAGGTTACCTGCAGCTTGGTGGACATTTTCTTGCACACTGACAGTTTTCTACTGCAAACACCTGCATCCCTCTACCTAAGAGTTTTCTCTGGATTCAGTAGCCCCAAGTCCACACAAGGCAAGAATTGATACCCCAAGGGTAACCCTTCCCAGCGAGCAATGGGAATGGCAGATGAGCACTTAGACCTCTTTGCCATCTGGGGATGTAATTTGATGGTATGTTCTCCACAGTCTCTCAGAGTGTCCTCAATAGGATAGAGCTCCAGTTGCCCTCATTGATTGCTCATCAATGAACCCTTTTTGGCTGTCTTCTCTTCCCTGTCTGTCTTCCTTCCCCACTCTCTCACCATGATTCTGGAATTATCTCCCAAATAAACTACTGGCACCCAAATCTTTGTCCTTGGGTCTGCTGCTAGGTGAACCAAAGCACAAAGACACCTCTTTCCCTTTCACCCACAAACATATAATCTTGAAGTCTATGGTCTAATTGGAGTCACAAGAAGTTGCCCAGTCAACTATGACATTGTTATAACCTTCTCAAAGAAACCAAATGTTGACCTTTCCACAGGACCATCTTGCCAAAGAAACCACCAGCTATATAGAAAGTGCTCAGTCAAATCAGCTGAATCTCAGCTAACCCACAAACATGTGAGTGAGAAATAAATATTTATCATTACAAGCTACTGAGTTGTCACACCAACAGATGGAAACGTCTATACCTTTTATGTAACTCAATGGTAAGAACTCAAAATAAAATAAAAACCAAAGATTCAGGAAGATTTTTTTTCCTCAAATATCAAAGATAAAAAATAATATCTAATATATAATGAATCGATTTAAAAAGCAATAATATCACGAAGAACCAATAAATAACAGACATGAGACAATAATTTCACCTAAATAAATACATAAAGAAAAATGTTGATTTTTGGATAGCAACAAAAAGAAATACAAAATAAATCCATAGTAAAGCACCGTTTTCAATTTTCTACCTATTAAATATGTGAATGATAGAAATTGAATTTTGGAGAAACTAGTCCCCTGGTCTTAAAACAGAATCCAAGCACTCACAATGATCACCAGGCCTCCCCTCTGGCATAATCTCCCACCTCTCTCTTCCTCCAGCTCGACTGCCATATTTCTTAGAAGGTTTTCGTTTCTTCCTGCCTCAGGTACCTCCCAAACATTGTTGCTTCTGCCTGGAATTTTTCCTTCCTCCTCCTCTTCACCCCTACTCCCTAGTTCTTCACTTCTTCTTTCTCCTAGTTGACACAAGTGTACTATGGATTGACAGGCAGAATTGTCCACGTTATTTAAATTGTTTTCTCTCTAGCTATCAATTCTTTTTTGAGTGCATCTAGGTGATTTCATGTAATGTACTTGTATGCATGGTTAAACTCCACTTGGCTTCTTTCTGACAATGGAATTCCCTCTAAAATTTAAGTACAGAATGCCATTTTACTGACTACCTGCTATGTCTTACATTCTTACTTTCTCATAGATTATTATCTCATAAAATCATAGCAATAATATTTCAAGGTAGCTAAAGGGTACTTATTTTTACCGATAAAAACAGTGAGACTCAAAAGGAAGGAAAGGGGACTTTGGTTTCAGCTCTGGAATGTAAAGAGCCTGAAAGTTGTCACTCTCATCCTTACAAAAAGAAATGGCTGAACAAACTGAAAATCAATGACTTTTCTTGGACCCATGAGAGAACTGAGACGGCAGGGAAAAGTCACTCTGAAATCTGGAGAGACAGGGACATCCAGAAAGTCACAGTCAAGATCTGATTATCTGGAGCAGAAGCTGCTGTAGCCATAAAGTAGCAGGAACACTCAGATGGTAATTCTGATGAATTGCTGCAGGCTGAGTGTGGAAACTTATGAGTGTGAAACTTATGAGGGATGAAGTCTTGGGGTGGGGACAAACTTTTATGGGGTTTACCCCCATGAAT